TACATAGTTTTCTTCTGTAATATTTAAATCAGATAGTAATTGGTCAAAGTGAATATCTTCACCCTCTATTATATTATCTAGATATTTGTTAATTGACGTCCAATTATCTTTATGCATTTTAATGCAACTTTCAGATGTTTCATYATCAAGAGGATGAAGTATCATAGTCTGTTTCAATGGAGGTTGTGGATAGTTAAATCTACACTTACTTCTTGCATGCTTACGACATGTATGCGAATGTCTGTGTATCTGTATTAACTATTTCAAGGAACTCATCATCATTTATTGGCTTTTGGGCAGTTATAATGTTATCAATATATGCTGTTATTTTTGCATCACTATCTATTTTTATCTGTGGTGCTCCTTCAACCCATATTAACATATGTATGTGAGGTGATCCTCTTTGTTGATACTCTACACGGTAAAACCAGTCTGATATTTTACCTAATGGCTCTGCAGGACTTAACAGAAAGTTTGTCATAAACTGATTGACTTGATAGTCAAAATGCCTAGCACATGTTACAGGATCACTTTGGATTAATCGACATCTGTMTTCCCAATTTAAATTCTTTAGTTGTTCATTGTTATATTRTTTATRATCTACAAGTTGACCAARTATTCTSAGTAAGTGTAACCAGYGTGTTTCAGCAGATGAGAAACTACAAAACAATGTAGCAGGACCTAACTGYCTTATCATTGCAAAWAAGTCTCTCTTAGCTTTCTCAAAATATGGAGGTGAACCCCGTAATGCATTGAGGAACTTGTACCCTTCATCAAGTCGAATTAATTTTTCTAATGCACCTTGTTGTTTCAATTGCCCCGCATTGATATTTCTGTTATTACCTTTACATTTTCTAAGGGCAATATTTGATTTACCTAAAAGAATTTTCATTTGTAATTTTTTTGTTTTATAGAAAATATTTTCAATACACATAGCAGCTCTTCTATCTGATCTTCTCAATTCTGACTTACAAATATCACTATAGTTAACTTTAACTTGTCTTTGTTKATGGTCTACTCTTGTTTGTCCAAGAAATATACCTGGATATGCTAATTCTTCAGAGTATTTATCCCTAAAAACACTTAATGGTCTCTATTACCTTCAGCTGGAGCAACATTAAGAATATGGTGGTGTTCATTATCTTCAACAAAATCAGCTGAAGTCAACATGGTATCAGTAGTACCATCTGGTGATTCTCCTTCATCTTTCATTAGCTTCATTTTCTTCATCTGAAATAATAGTGTCAGTGCAAATTAATTTCATCGTTGTGTTGTGATTGTGAACTGAAACAATTATTAACATCATGATCTTCATCCGTTTCATTTTGTGTTATTTCTACTTTGWATTTATGTATCCATTCCGAATCTAATTGAATACCTTCATTTTTATAAAGATTGCTATTGTTTATCAACCAGTTTGCTGCTTCAATGACCTTATATGGCCGTACATTTAATGATAAAGCTGAACTTTTATATTGAAGCTTTCTTTTTAAGTTTATTTTGATTGTTGATGTTTGGCTGTTTACCCGTGGCAACATCCTTACTGTATCATTAACATCAGCAGGTACATTCACAACATTACCATGAATCTTAAGCTGTTTACCTCTAGGAGCTTGCATAAATTTTTGAAACGCAATTCTTGGTGCTAGTAATCTACATTCTAACTCGTTAAGATCAAAGAAGTCTGGTTTTTGTGGAAATGCCATACCATTAGCTATTGCACAAGGTGGAAGTTTGTTTTTGATTAAGTGACTATGACATATCACGAAGATACTTTTCAATGTCAGGATTAGTCTGTCTAAGTTTATAAGCACAATGTACACTATGTTTATACCATAATTGCTCACAGCATGTACAAATATATACTGGTCCTTCATTAACTAATTCATGAAATTTTTTGATCATGCACTCAACTGTCAAGGATTTAGCTTTTCTATATTTTCTTTGATATTCATTGCGTTTTGCTTTTTGCTGTGGAGTTACATTAGCTTTACGATATTTTTTTCATATTCATTTCGTTTTGCTGTTTTATCTGGAGTTAGATTAGCTTTTCTATATTTTCTTTGATATTCATTTCGTTTTGATTTCTTTTCTGGAGTTACATTAGCTTTACGATAATTTCTTTGATTTTCATTTCGTTTTGCTTTTTTCTCTGGAGTTACATTAGCTTTACGATAATTTCTTTGATTTTCATTTCGTTTTGCTTTTTTCTCTGGAGTTACATTAGCTTTACGATAATTTCTTTGATTTTCATTTCGTTTTGCTTTTTTCTCTGGAGTTACATTAGCTTTACGATAATTTCTTTGATTTTCATTTCGTTTTGCTTTTTTCTCTGGAGTTACATTAGCTTTACGATAATTTCTTTGATTTTCATTTTTCTTTGCTTTTTTCTGTGGAGATGTACAGCTTTGTCTGTATTTTTGCATATACTGTTTCATGTATATCTTTCTATTTCTATTCTTAGAATTATGAAGTGGTTTGCTTTGAATTGTACATTCATTACTGGATGACTCTTTAACTAGATTATTGTTTTCAATCATCGTTTCTGTTTGTAAATCATTTCTTTGTGATTCAKTTGAMTCATCTGTCATACTATTATCAACACTGTTGATTTGACATGTCRAGACATAATGCATTTGACCTATGTGTCCTATATGTATCGACCTGGSATTTGATAGTGTAGTTGCTGGTTCAACTATCGTTAATTCACTAAAATTCTGATCGGATTCAATGATATTAATCCTTAAATTCATTGCATCAGCTACTGCTTGTACAACTAYATGGTCAGCCCATGTACTTTGTACGGACATGTTAGATAAATACTGTGACCATGGTACATGTATTATGCTTTCTATGAATCGTTCAGGATGTTCCTGTAGATAATGGACACCCATTTCTCTTCTTTCTAAATGATGACTTGAATTACCATACAACTGATGAGATACTGACCTAAAGAAACAATAGTCTCCTTCACGGTTACCTGAGCGTTGAGCGTGCAATGATAGAAACCTGTGAATAATTGTCTGTAGGTGTGAAAGAAGGTTTCTATCATTGCACACTCAACGGTTGTCTCGCTTCGATGCAAAGGCACGGCTACCTTTCATGATGGCGCAGGTAATCGTGAAGGAGACTATTGCCTCCGCCACCAACATCTAGTTGTTCTAAATTATGCCTGAATAGTCTGTATTTGAATACAAAATTGTTGTTATTAAATAGTGCAATTTCATTTCATGGATTAGTTGAGGTACAGACCATTCTAGGTACTGGGTTTAATTCAACATCCCCAGAAAGTAAAATGTTTCGTTGATAAATATTATATTTCATTGTTGACTTCTTAAATTGTTTATAATCTTATGTGTAAAAACTATGTTGTCTTTGAAAATATTTCATCATGCAATGTTTATTGTTTGTGGCAATATTATTCAAAACCGATGAGACAGGTACCTTGCTTTTGATAATTTTACAATATTTTTTCCTAAGTTTTTTGCRCTTTAACAAATGGATAACTTTNTACATTAGCTTTACGATAATTTCTTTGATTTTCATTTCGTTTTGCTTTTTTCTCTGGAGTTACATTAGCTTTACGATAATTTCTTTGATTTTCATTTCGTTTTGCTTTTTTCTCTGGAGTTACATTAGCTTTACGATAATTTCTTTGATTTTCATTTCGTTTTGCTTTTTTCTCTGGAGTTACATTAGCTTTACGATAATTTCTTTGATTTTCATTTCGTTTTGCTTTTTTCTCTGGAGTTACATTAGCTTTACGATAATTTCTTTGATTTTCATTTCGTTTTGCTTTTTTCTCTGGAGTTACATTAGCTTTACGATAATTTCTTTGATTTTCATTTCGTTTTGCTTTTTTCTCTGGAGTTACATTAGCTTTACGATAATTTCTTTGATTTTCATTTCGTTTTGCTTTTTTCTCTGGAGTTACATTAGCTTTACGATAATTTCTTTGATTTTCATTTCGTTTTGCTTTTTTCTCTGGAGTTACATTAGCTTTACGATAATTTCTTTGATTTTCATTTCGTTTTGCTTTTTTCTCTGGAGTTACATTAGCTTTACGATAATTTCTTTGATTTTCATTTCGTTTTGCTTTTTTCTCTGGAGTTACATTAGCTTTACGATAATTTCTTTGATTTTCATTTCGTTTTGCTTTTTTCTCTGGAGTTACATTAGCTTTACGATAATTTCTTTGATTTTCATTTCGTTTTGCTTTTTTCTCTGGAGTTACATTAGCTTTACGATAATTTCTTTGATTTTCATTTCGTTTTGCTTTTTTCTCTGGAGTTACATTAGCTTTACGATAATTTCTTTGATTTTCATTTCGTTTTGCTTTTTTCTCTGGAGTTACATTAGCTTTACGATAATTTCTTTGATTTTCATTTCGTTTTGCTTTTTTCTCTGGAGTTACATTAGCTTTACGATAATTTCTTTGATTTTCATTTCGTTTTGCTTTTTTCTCTGGAGTTACATTAGCTTTACGATAATTTCTTTGATTTTCATTTCGTTTTGCTTTTTTCTCTGGAGTTACATTAGCTTTACGATAATTTCTTTGATTTTCATTTCGTTTTGCTTTTTTCTCTGGAGTTACATTAGCTTTACGATAATTTCTTTGATTTTCATTTCGTTTTGCTTTTTTCTCTGGAGTTACATTAGCTTTACGATAATTTCTTTGATTTTCATTTTTCTTTGCTTTTTTCTGTGGAGATGTACAGGTTTGTCTGTATTTTTGCATATACTGTTTCATGTATATCTTTCTATTTCTATTCTTAGAATTATGAAGTGGTTTGCTTTGAATTGTACATTCATTACTGGATGACTCTTTAACTAGATTATTGTTTTCAATCATCGTTTCTGTTTGTAAATCATTTCTTTGTGATTCATTAGACTCATCTGTCATACTACTATCAACACTGTTGATTTGACATGTCGAGACATAATGCATTTGACCTATGTGTCCTATATGTATCGACCTGGGATTTGATAGTGTAGTTGCTGGTTCAACTATCGTTATTTCACTAAAATTCTCATCGGATTCAATGATATTAATCCTTAAATTCATTGCATCAGCTACTGCTTGTACAACTACATGGTCAGCCSATGTACCTTGTACGGACATGTTAGATAAATACTGTGACCATGGTACATGTATTATGCTTTCTATGAATCGTTCAGGATGTTCCTGTAGATAATGGACACCCATTTCTCTTATTTCTAAATGATGATTTGAATTACCATACAACTGATGAGATACTGACCTAAAGAAACAATTGCCTCCGCCACCAACATCTAGTTGTTCTAAATTATGCCTGAGTAGTCTGTATTTGAATACAAAATTGTTGTTATTAAATAGTGCAATTTCATTTCTTGGATTAGTTGAGGTACAGACCATTCTAGGTCCTGGGTTTAATTCAACATCCCCAGAAAGTAAAATGTTTCGTTGATAAATATTATATTTCATTGTTGACTTCTTAAATTGTTTATAATAGTATGTGTAAAAACTATGTTGTCTTTGAAAATATTTCATCATCCAATGTTTATAGTTTGTGGCAATATTATTTAAAACCGATGAGACAGGTACCTTGCTTTTGATAATTTTACAATATTTTTTCCTAAGTTTTTTGCACCTTAACAAATGGATAACTTTTTTCAAGGAAATTCGAGACGGTTCTCTACATCTTGTTTTATGTTTTAATTTCCTCAAACACTGCCGAGAATGCCTATGACTTTCAATACAATGAGACATCGATGTGTACTGTGTATYATCAGTAGGTTGTGAAGAATTATTCAAAACATGCTCACTATCACTCTGATGGAATTTCATATTTCTCCCACATATCATATTATCATTGCTCTGTAAATATTTGTTGATAAACTTATATCCAGGCACATACTTCATCAATGCATTTATAAAGATAAAGCTGAAATGGTCAATTTTTGACAAAGCAAAGCAAGTATTCCCAAGAGAATTATAGGTACTCCAAAGG